ATTGAACTTAGTTTGGTGGTCTATAAAACAAAAGATGATACTAAGCAAAAGATGAATACATTCCCCATCAATAATAACTGCAAAAATTCTTTGCAGTTTAGTCCGGATAGGTATAAAACAAGTTTATCATCCGTTGAACTTTCTGCATTTGAATAAGAAGCTCTGTCTCTCGGAATCAACTTCACCATACCTCATGCCGAAATTTTTAATTTCCCGATCGCTTTTTAGTTTGATAATCTCTTTGCTCGACTGAAACCCCTTGTTCAAACTCTCCGAATAATCAAAACCGGTTGCCCACCAATTCCATGGTTCCAAGATAAGACACATGAATATTTTGGCATTCAAACATTTGATGCCTTCAGAAACCGTAAAAGATCAGATATTATGGTTCTAAAATTTGGCAAAGGTTCTAGGGTAGTTCTAGTGAATAAATGTGACCATAAAAATAACATTTTATACATCCTTAGTGATGAAAGGAAGTTTTGAAGAATGTTTCATCTAATAATGAGGTTGGAGAATTAGAATCAAGAATTAACCCCAATCTTATGAAGCTACTCAAAATGAATGTTATTAACGAGGATGAATTCATTATGTCAAAACCTACTGGTTCTGAACTACCGACTTTGTATGGATTACCCGAAATTCGTAAACCTAATAATGCATTAAGACCAATATTATCTATGTGTGGGCTCACCTACATATAAGCTGACAAAATGATTAGCTAAATTACTGAACCCGATCTGTAATAAACTGTATAAGTTTTCCCTGAAAGTTATATTTCAATCAATTGATGTTTTCGATGACATTAATATTAAAGGAAAGACTATGCGTTCTTTTGATGCAAACTCTCTTTTTACCAATGTATCTCTAATCAAAACTGTTAACTTTTTTTGTGACTATATTTCGAGTAATTTCCCTCTTTTTTCTATTCGGTCAACACTACTAAGAAAACTACTTTTATTATGTAATGAAAATTTTTATTTCACGTCTGATAGTGAACATTCTCAAAAAGTTGATGGCGTTGCTATTGGTTCTCATTTGAGACCTGCCTTAGCTGATGTTTATAAAGCATCTGTCGAAAATTAGTTGAATGAGCCTATCAATAAAGTTACTCTGTACAGGAGATTAAAAAGGTTATTCATTAAAGTCCATCAACTGATGCAGAAATCAGTTAAAACAAAAGTCTATTTTTTATTCTGTTGGAAAGAAAGTATGTAAATCACTTTACCTTGAATCAAATAGTTTAATCTTAGGACAGAAACTAAAAGCAGCCATAGAGTAAATAGACTACCCTGACAAACTGGTTACAATTGAAGAAACTAAGCCCATGATTCCACATCGGCTTAGACATTGCTCGATTTATTACATCAGTTCACATGTTTCTGTAGACACACATACATAGGGAGGGGTAATCGGACATTACAAGCAAGGGTTATGGAACATGTACCTAAATGGCTTCAAAATCAATTGAATTTAGATGACCCGATAAACATGAGAAATAAAAAATCATGTTCATCGATTGCAAAACACATAACTGAGGCAGGGGTATAAGACTGACATCAAGACAGCCTTTAAAATATTATATAGAAGTGTTGAAGAACGAATTCTGAGGTTTATGGAAGCCTTGGCTATTTGTAAATTAAAACCCATCTTATGTGTACAGAAACAGTTTGTTATAACCTTAAACTTACTTTCGTAATTTTGAAGCCATTTTATGGCCTAGGGTGATGCGGCAATTTCCTACCATTTCTTATTCTTTCTGTGTTAAGTTAATTTTCTCTTGCCTTCATTTACTATAATCACCTATGTCTATTTGAACTTTTATTTAATTAACCTCACTCTTGGTTATGAGCAGACTAAAGTAGTCCAAAAGTTTGTATATCTTGGTCTCTATGCAAGTGCTGGTATAAAGAAAGCCGAATTGGCTTATGCTAATGTGAGCCATTTTAGGAGCTTTCATGACGTTAGCCTGACCGTAAAAGATCGTATCTATCATGTGTTTGTAAAATCAGTTTTGCTGTGTTTGTGAAACCTGATTTCTCTGAGTTAAAGCTGTAAAGTGACTTCCTCATAGTTGTCTCGGAAAAATTACTTACATTCACTTACAGCACCATCATATTAGTGAGGAAGTTCAATAACGCGTTGAGGCACAGCGATAATAATTCAGCAGTGTTATCACCTTGAAATACTGACTTCGGTGGCTCGGGTATAAACTACGAATATTACCTCAGCGAATTCTATATCGTGCATTATTTCCTAACACTGGGACTGGTTGAAAAAAAGCAGATAGGTGATCGGTGTATTGTATGATTTTGTGGTGTGAAAGAAAGTGGTACAGGACTAGCATCTGTTGTTCGTTATGGTGGCCGCCTAGTTGAGACTCTAGAGATGATGTTACTCATTGGCTAAAGGCGTTGTCAGATATGGCTCAGAATAGAGAAGCCTGTGGCGGTCCTGTTGTACCTTTCTTATGTTTAACTGAAAGGATTCTTTCTGACTGTACTTTCACTAACTGAACTGTTTCTCCTAAAACTGCTACCATTATTTCACTGTCACACACTAATTTCTACCCACTTTTTTTGTTTATTCATCGTTCCTTCTTTATTTTCCACAACCTCACTTTTATTGTGTGGCACATATTTACTTTAGTGCATACTTGTACCAGTACTTACGCGTTTTATATAAATAAATAAGTAGCAGAATAATCCTTGGCTTAAAATGAGTTTGTTAAAGAGAGAAAACTTCTGAAGGGATAATCATTCAGAACTTCATATGGGTTTTAATACCTGTGTAATCAATATTATTTCGTTGTGAAAATTGAAAACTAGTCTCTGAGAATCAGTTCGGTTATTATCATCATTACATGAAATATTATATTGTACTAAGCACTATTACTTCCTGACTTTATTTTTTAATTTTTTATTTTACTGAATTCGTTTTGACGAAATTTTATACTTTCTCGTTAAATTCATAGACTTTTCATGACAGATCTAATTGTTTATTATCAAGATATAATATCATTCTAATCGTAAAACAGATGTTACTATGATCTCATTGCTTATTCATGTAACAAATGAATGGAAATAAATGTTTGCAAACTTATCTTTAGTAGAAAACAGTTGTTGTAATATCAATCCAGCATTAAGTGAACGTTATTTTTGCTAGTAAAAAGGTAACTGCGTTAAAAACTATCTTGCAGATGTTTTACCTGATGAAATAATATGTTTGCTTGATATTAATTATTCTTTTTTTCTCTAAACTCTCAATAAATATGTTAACTGGGTAAAGTATTTCTTCATTATAAACAATTAGGTAAACAGATAATTACTTGTTTCTCATAAATAAATAGTAAGTTAATCCAATTAAGTTCTTTTCAAATTATCTGATGCAATTGAAAACATGAATTATAAATCCTAAATAGTTATTAAATTGTCATTAGAGTTGGAATTCTTTTTGTTGAAAGAAGTAAATATGAATTTACTTGTGGTAAAATGTGTTTTTAGATTTGCGAGTGATTTCTTCATCATCTTGGAAAGGTTAATTAGGCAAGGCCTACGATATTATGAAGCAAAATCCATATTATTTTTGTCCATGTTGCATAATACTGGTTGATATAAATGAATCATTAGTTGATTTAAGTAATTTTGCAGTGAAATTTTGTATTAAATTCAAATATTTAAAAGTAAACATCAATGAAATCCACAAGCTCCAAAATGACAAACGGTTTCTCCAATAAAACTGTTCAGGACGTTATTTCAATCAAATTAATTAATGATGGATAAAAACATGAAGAAAAGTGTTGGATTGTCATTACAGGGTTTTTGGGAGAAGCCGTCATGACTGGAGTTCAATTTTGTTGGGTGTGAGCCATTTGCCGACCGGAGACAATGCATGATGAACGCGAAACGTTGTGGAGTGAATAAAGTTAGACATTTTTGCTGTAAGATGCCATTTGAGTCGTCCAGAGGTTAAGCGTTCGCGAAACCGAAGTTTCTGAGTTCGATTCATGCGTTCATGTGTCATGGATGGGCACTATGGATAGGACAAAGTCAAGGATGAAACGGTTGTTCAGTGCTTCTGTTTCCAATTCAATAGTTTAACACTGATCGTCTCATGGTTTCAATGAAAATTGTTAGAGATTACAGATATGATTATACTATTTGCATTTTGAGAATTATTAATAATGCTTTATTAGGATGGATTAAATATAAATAAGCCTTAAGTATGTCAAAATAGCACAATCTTTATTATAGTTAATTAAGAGCAATTGTACATTAAAAGGAATTAAAAATTATTTACTCAATTAATTGGCTTCACGAAATAATCTATTATGAAATCCAATTAATTTACTGAACGTCATTAAATGTTTTACGTGTTGAACTAGATTTTACGATAAACAATACATTGTGTTCAATTTTATTGAAGTAGCCACAATAGAAAATGGACATTAAATATTTTTTTTCACAGTTGTTAGTTTGTATTGCAAAAAACGAATCGAATTTCCAAAAGGAAATCTTATAATTTAATATATTCATTGAATAATTATGACTCTAGAAAGTCAACTTAATAACTTTCCTAATAATAAGAACAATGTTATCACAAGCATATTATAATTACTATTTTATTATTCTTATTAACATTTTATTCAATGCTTAATTTATTTTAAATTATTAAATCTAATATGACTAACAATACTTATGGTTTAATTGTACATTACACATCTGTACTAAAGTGTTGTAAATGTCAATTAGGTTTCTCTTGAAAATGTTAATTCAAAATATGCTACTTAGGTTTGTTTAAAAAAATAAAAGATAGATGTTATGCACAACTATTGTTTAGAGTTGGTCATTTTAATACTATTGATCGATAATGCTTGATTTCACTGAAACTAAAAAAGGCCTAAATGACAAATTCATTGATTTATGAATTCTGTTCAAATTATTTTTTTTGTCGCATGATTGTTTTTTCCTTTTTTTGATATTTTTTCTATTATATCACAGGTTTCTCTTCCATTGTACATCATTTTGATATTTCCATACCGGATTCATATAAATCTTTATTGTTAAAATTATACAAAGCCTATGAATTCACTCGACGTTTAGATGTCATATTCGTTCGCCTATTTATCATGTTAAAAAAAATGTGTTTTGATGAATATAACAAATATATGAACCATTGGAATACTATTTTACAACATATTGAGCATCATTATATTGATATCAAACAAATTTCATGCTTTTATCAACAATCTACACAAATTGAAATATTATTTATTCATTATGAAAATTTCATTCAATGTTTCAATAATTTAATCGAAATTATTTTCAATAATATCATGTCTTGTATTTTATATTGGTTTGGTTATACAAATCAATATGTAACTAATGAACTATTGAAAGAATTGAAACAATTGTTTCATCCAACAAATTCATATTTCATGTCGACTTTAACATCCGCTGCTGCTACATTGACACCATCAGTAATAACAACAACAACAACATCTTCAACATTGAATAATAATTATAATAATTTAGATGATCTAGTTGAAATTAAAACAAATCTATTGAATATGGATAGAAATGTTCTGATACGATTAGCACGTTTAATGGGAACATTAAGCCAAATGAATAATTGTTTAACATTGTTCAATGAAAATATCAAGGTGAATTTAAATTCTGTTTTGCTTTTTTTTAAATGTCTTCTTTGGTTATTTAATGAGTGTGGTACTTGTTTAAATCATTGGATTATGAACAAGTTATCATTCGAAAAATCATTGATACAATCTCAACTTTTTTTAATTACTTTCCGTTTTGGCAACAGAACATATGTTCAGTAAGTTTTTTATTCGTAACATAGGTTCACATGAATTCTTCCGTTGAAAATTCTTGGTGAGATGAAAATTTGAAAAAAAAACGAATAAAGAAATTGATTATAATTATTCTTGATAGAAAACATATCTTTATTCTGTTATATAATTGAAAATGGAGAACATCAAGTTCTTTTTATTGTATCGATTATGTGAAAAATGCAAACATTGAACACGAGTTGTAGTTTACAATTTCTTAGTTTTACTTAAGAAAATGAGTACGTTTTATCCTTGAAAATTCATGGACAACTGAATTGAAATTCGAAATATATACTCGAATAAATGATCATGCAAATCTATATTTATTCAATGAGTGGTGTTGTCTTACATCACTGTTATGTCATTTGGCTACAATATAATTAAAGAAAGATTGAACTTGGAATTCTCCACAAGACTCATATTTCTAAAATATCGGTTTATTCAAAACGAACATGACTGATACCGATTAAAATAATGAAATTCAGTCTATTAACTTGATAAATTTTTAAAATACATATAAAATTTTTTGAATAAATAGATCATCATTCAATTTGTGACTAAGTTTCATATGTAATTGACTACTGTTGTTTTTAAAACAAAATATATTATTTTATGCACTCATTAATTATAATTTATAGAAATTTCGAGCAATTTCGATTGTTAGATTATTTATTACCTTGAGTAAAATAAGAGATCTTTACGTGATAAGTTACGTAATGTTTGGGAATATTCATCGCGGTACATTTTTCATGATCGTTTCTTTTATTCTTAAAGTCAACACTTCTAGTTTAAAGTTATGTAATATAAATACGATGTATTTATAGTTGATTGTGTCTAAGGATAATTTTACTGCTATATATCTATTTGTTCTAGTTCTTAATATTAACAAGCGGGGAACAAAATGGTTTACAAAGTAGAACATTAGGGTAACTTTCTGTACAAAGGCTGTAATTTTATCAAGCGCCTTCGTTGGGCGATCTCGGGAATTCTATTTTTTTCTTGGGAGCTGATATCAGTTAGAGAAATTGTTGGCGAACCATAAAGCAAAGAGCAGCTAGACTGTACCTTTCAAATAGTCTAAACTTACATAAGGACACAAGATTCAAATCAAGATTTTTGAATCTTTTAAGTAATACTAAATCTTTGGAAGACAATATTGAAATTCTAAATTCAGCGACACATCTTATAGCAGTAATTACAATTTATCACATCGTCATTTATCACTGTAAAGTCATGTATACCTTATTTTACCGAGGAGTCTGGAGTTAGGATGAAACATATATCGACGATTTTCTCATCATTCGCTTTAATTAACATGAATTCAGTATGAAAATTAAATATTTGTGGAATCATTAACTTAATATTTTTTGTAATTATGGTGCCTTACAAAGAAACTACTGTCTCGATAAGAATATAAAAATGTCGATGTATATATATATATATATATATATATATATATATATATATATATATATATTATTTTTGTACATTTTTCCCTATCTACCCAGCGATTAAAAATTACTGTGAACTTACAAAGACGTATGATTGCAATGATGAAAAAATCAATTCTGATTTCGGAATTCTATTTTAAGGGATATTGTATACTTCGTTAAATTGTATACCATATTCAATTTTAATTTAGTAAAATAAAACACATAGAAAACGATGACAAATTGGTGTTTAGAAACAAAAATCAATAAATTTATTCAAGTAAACTTCATTAAATAAAATATATAAAAATAAAGCAATTCTGTTAAATCAAATACAAATTAGTTTCTCGATTCACTTTAATGTAAACTAGTATCATCTAGAGGAAGGTGGAAAATCGAAAAACAGCAGTCATTTTCTTTTGTTTTATAGGAAATTCAAACCTCGGAATGACTGAACATAAAACTGTGACATGTTGTAGAGACGAGGAGGTCACCTTTAAAACAATTAGGTAATATCCCTCCTGATCAGAAAGTCATGATTCAGCGTGGTAGTTTTATTGTTGTGTGTCATGGATGAAGCAATATTTTACACCCAGTGTTACAGATCTTCATTTTCAGGAAGAAATTCATGTCATTCTAATTATGTCTTGGACTAAATGTAACTATTAAGTTTTATAATTACTTGATTTTCGTAAATTAGTGACTGCTGAATCGGAAAAACGTTTTATATATGCATTTATTTATTTAATTCAACGACCGTTTGCAATAAAACACCTGCTGATTCATTGTTCAAACTCATTTCTTCATATATATTACTCAAATTTTAATTGGGAAAACTGCAAATGTTCACGGGGTATCAATTTTCTCCTTAAAATCGTTAATTAAACAATATTCTTTTTTTTTAAATATGTTTAACTTTTCGCTCTTCTTCCAGTCTTAAAATATTTTTAACATACTTTATGTAATATGATTGTGATTACATTTTTATGTTTCTCAACTCTCTAAAATTACTTCAATTTTTTTCTTTTGACAGATATGGAAAGAAACATTAAGAAAAACATTTTCACATATAATAAATGAACTGATTCAGAATTATATTTTCAGTCATCGCAATGAAATACACTGTGATCTTCAAATTGAAAATAATCATTTAATACATCTTTTGACTATTTTCCTGAAACCAATTTATAAAAAAACTGGAAATTGTTTAAATTCATTCACAGAGAATACAATTCTAATTGATAATTCATCATTGATATGTGAATATCATCATAACATATTTAATCAGATAATTAAACCAACAATGATAAACTTTTATACTATAATATCATCTTTCTTAAAAGAGACATCGATTAGGTAAGTAAAATGTAATTTAACGCTTATGATGCGTTGCCTGAAAATAATCAACTATTTTGTTGGACTGAGAGTGTAATTAACTCTGATCATTAGGTTGCGAAATAATTGTTTATCAGTATCGAGTTGCGGAGTTCATTGAGATTCATTTACTATCACGATGGCCACAATGGTTTGCACAACTCCGTGGACCGATTGAAGTTAAGCATTAACACCACTAGATGCTGACTGCGTGGTCTTGAGGTTGTGCTCTATTACAAAGGATAATTACCTAATATGAAAGTTATTATTGGTACTTTTAATTTTTGCAAGTTTTAGACTTCAATTGAATTGATAACTATTTGTAAATGAAACCAAGTTCAGCATTGCGAAGAGTAATAGTATGTGTAATATATATGGCTTAGTTGTTTTCTTTTAAAAAAATTAGTTGTTTTGAAATGATTCGTATCAGTTGTTAACAGTCATTTGACTACAATAGAATATTCCTTATATTATAGCAAAACATTTTTTGAAATAGAAGTATTATTAAGAATCTAATCATTTTAGATAATTATTTGTTGTGAAGGTTTGTGAAGAGTGTTTAATGTAAAGTTTGTATCGTCACATATAGAATTAAATTATGAAAATAGTTTATGTCAAGGAGTACTGAATAGTTCTTTTTCCGTAATACACCGACCATCTCATCAGACATAGAATCCAAGTTTTAGGTATCAAGCGACAAGCTAAGTACTCTTGTGTTATTAAATTAAGACCTCATTGCTCATAGATTCAACAGTTTTTGAAATCATTTCAGTTTGTATTGGAAAAGTAACTAATTATGAGTAGAGGTAGATAATGCTTGGCAGTGGAATGCGCATTTCGTTCACTTTGAGACTTTCAGCCGGAAGTTCATTACGGGACTCGAAAGTAGTACCTTACGTTTCGGATGCCATTGCGTTGTACACTTAATTAATAATCTACTGACAGTGTCGAGGTGACCCGTACAGGATGCACATATGCCATAGAGACCAACTAATCTGAGTCTTAAACACTAATGAGAGGATTGAGACAACGAATACAAACGAATTTACAGCTAATTATTGTTCAATTTATAGTTTGCTTTGAATAAACTTATTTAAATTCTGGTTTTTGCTTCCGACAATTGTTCTACTAATCTGTGTTGAGATATGTGCACTGTATGAAGGTTTCTTTAACGAAGCCATTGTCAAATCTTATTTAGCGTAGGCGTGTTGTTCCTAGCATACTCGGTAAATAAGTGAACGGTTATGTAGACTAAGTAACTCAAACGGTAAAGAGTTATTAGTTGAAAGCGTAAGATACTGATTTCAAGTTTCAATCTTGACATGAATTCTGAGATGATGGTACATCTGGATAACGAGTCCCATTGTTGACCAGATAACTTTTGGCAACGGATGATATAGTGGTAGTACTCCGGAAATGACTAATGGATTAAGTCCTTGTCATCAACATTTGTGATAACTCATACATCTGTTCATAAAAATGTTATAATGTCTTAACAACAATCACATTAGATTTCACGTATCATCAGTTATTGAATTTAAATTTCAAATGACTGCAAAGTTGTTTAATTTAGCTTAACCTTAATCTCGATAAAGCCTGATATCATTAAATTTTCATTTTAAAAAATCCATCTGATGGAAAAAATACTTCAAATCATCATTTCGATCATAAATTTATTCGGTTAAATGAATGTCAAGCATTTTATCGAAATTTAAAAAAAAATGAATAGATTCCTGTTTAAATTCTACCACTTAAATTACTGTTAAACATTGAAGATTAAATCAATATGAACTTTTAATAAGATAATGCAACGTTGACTGACTTCAATATGATATAAGAATAAAAGTATAGAAATATCATTTTGTTCTATTTAGACGTATTAATTTGTCATGTTTTTCAGTTAAACACACAGTTTATGAAAATTAATACGTTTAGAGTATGCTCTTTTTCCATTGAAATCATGAATCAATCATCGTTAGACCACCATTAGAAACCTGAAAGCACTGGATGGCCGTTTTGTCCTTAGATCTACCAAAGTTAGACATCAACACCGTTTGATGCCTGCTCATTGGTCTAGAGATTAAGCGTTGGCTCACTATACCGAATGTTCTGAGTTCTATTACTGCGAGCAGGGGTCGTGGATCCACACTGCTGATATGTCCCATTTGGTGCTTCCAGGTTTCTAATCGTCGTTTAACAATGACTGATGCATGATTTCAATGGAAAACAACAATCTCCATAACACTATAATGAATATGTTCTTTTTATATAATAAGAATAATTACTTTCATCCTTCTCATTGGCTGTATCGTATGTTTTTTTAAAAGTATATGATAGATTTTTTTTCTCAACTCATTTCTATATATTTGATATCTGTTGAAAGAACATTTCTAATCAATTATCAACAATAGAATGAAAAGGATTTCGGTTAATGATTTATTCAATTGTTCAAGCATTAATTTTTACTAGTCATTATCCTACTCTGTTTATCGCAAGTGAAAAAATTTTTTTTCATTAGAATTCATTTATAATCCTAATGACTGTCAAGCAAATAGCAGACAATAAAACACAGATGATACTTAATAAAATTAGGTATTAGAATTATATATTGAGATCATGAATCGACTAATGTTAGATTACTGTTAGAAGCCTGGAAGCATTGGACGACAGTTTCGTCCTAATATGGGATCGATTGATGATTTCAGTGGAGTTCAGGAGTCTCCACAACCCCTTATGAAGTTTACCATGTGCTTACAAGTGACTAGCTGCGTGAGGATGTTTCACCGAGTTCTAGTGAGAAGACGTAAACGGTGGAGTTCAACCCTGTCAGATATGAAACAGAGCCCATAGATGATGCTGCGCAAGACCGTGGGTTGATCACAGTTAGACATTAAGGCCTTTGAATCCCGGCTCAGTTGTCAAGAATTTGACGGTTCTGGGCTTGATTCGTGCGATCAAGGATAATTGATGCGCTTCGCTGGTGTGTTCCATATTAGGACGAATCTACCGTCTAATGTAGGTCTTACAGTGACTAAGTCACGATTTCAATGAGACTTAAGAATGTATATAAAACCTTAATGAAAATTATATTTGTATATATATATATATATATATATATATATATATATATATATATAACATGAAATGAAACTCTACAATTCCCGGAAGAAAAATTTCCATGAAATAAACAATCTGGGAGGTATTTTAAAGGTTTTCAAAACATATAAATTAGTTCAGCAACTAATATTCATTCAAATATGATAAAACATTGGACCGGAATTTATTGAAAGATAAAAGCAACAAATCATACCGGTATTTAAAAATTATTCACATTTTAACTAAGCATACAAACTAGTAGGTCGTTTGATTGTATAAATTTCTGATACTGTTAATATATGATAACCTACCTTATTAATTTGTGATAATTCACTGTTTGAAAATTATCACGCCCATAGATTCACAATCTTATCAGTATTAGGGAGGGGTTCATTCACGTCATTGATTCATTTTTAATCTTAGAACATGAATGAATTGGCAGCGTACGGTCTATTATTGTTTAATTACTCATAGGTTTGGATGATAAATGTTTCTTCAGTACTGCTTATAAGCGAATTATAGCATGATAGAGATCGATTATTACTGTTAAAAAAATAAAATAAAATTAGCCTGTCTATTTTGTTGGACATACATTCAATTGTATACTTATAAAATAAAAATAATCAGTATAAAATAAAATGCTGAGTTTTTTCACAGCTCTCGTTAACGTCCTTCAACTTGATTAGTTTTAATCGACAGCGCTACACATCGATGTGTCTTTACCTTCATACGTTCATGTATCAATTCATTGGAGATACATTACAAATAACTGAAAATTTTGTTCGTTGAATGCATGATTTTCATGACAAACCATTGGAGATCATCATTTTTTCATACTCTAGTGACATTTAATTTGTTACACTTCTTCCTTCTATTACTGCTAATATTTCACAGTTGAAGGGTGATTTCTGTTTTGTGTTTAAAAAATCTACGATATAAAAAATAAAATAACTGACCAGTAAGAATACTTCTTAGCCATCAACCGTCTTATAAATGAAAGCTTAAAATTCGAAAGCATTCAAGCCTACTGTACAATGTTCAAACATTATTACAGCTAAGTGATAAAGTGTTCTACTTGGAGGCTTTTTATTGTACAGTTTGAATTTCTGACAATATGTCAACTGTTGTCTAAGTTTAACATTGAAAACGAGTTAGATTGTATTGAAATACCAATGGTAAAGTATTAAAAGATTATTATTATTATCAGTTCATGATTTAGCTATGAGAATATTTGAGGTAAATTTTAAAAAAAAGTAAAAATAATCCTACAATCTTAATCTTCTCGATCATAATCTTTTTCTATCAGGAATAGGCATTATACATTATCAAATTTCTAAAATTTCCACTAAACATCCAAATTTAATAGATCACTTTTTAATAAATTTTACTGACAATCATCTATGCATAAGTGGTATGCATTCCATTCAAGTATTTACATGTCTTTTATTGAATGTTACAAAATATTTATTGTTTTCTTCAAGATATCAATCACATCATAAACCAAATCATTCACTAATTATCCAGTTACTTAATTCCTACACTAGAATGTGCCTGAATAAACAAAAATTTATGCGCTCAGTTAATCTAAATCAAGTTGATTTTTTGTTTTTTGAAGCAGTTTTACTCTTCACTAACCATAAATAATAATAATTCACTGAATGAAAAACAATGAAAAGTGAAGTATGAAATGATTTGCCAAACTTTATAAGCATGTTTTTTCATACTGAAATAACAAAAATGGAATGAAAGAAATTTTTTCCCAAGCATTAAGAACAGTACATGATGTTTGTGTGTTGGTTGTACCGTGAAGTTTTTAAAATCATCTCACCAAGGATAGAGAAAATGTTAAAAAACAGACAGTAAATCATCAGATCAGATCAGATTACACTTAGCAATAATTCAATTTATGGTAATCGGTATGTAATAATCCAGTTACTTTCTGCTTCTATATAGTTGCCCGATTGATTTTTTTGGTAATAATGATACTACTATTAAACATAGGCAACAATTTTATCATTATTCAAACTCTCTTCGCCCTACATGAGCTACAGAGACAATAATAATTTTTGGCCGATTTCAAGATTATTATTTATTAGAGTTAATTATATTCAACACAGTTGCTTATTCTAAATCCAGGTTTATAGAATATTCAACTGAGAATAGTCTAGGGTCTGATTTCTACAAGTAACGTTTTAGGTATAAAGAAAAAGGATATCAGTTGGGGAAACCTATCATTGCCATTTATTGTGACATTATTTTCCTGTACAATACTAGTAATTTTATTAGATATCATCAAGTTGACGACGTCAATTTTTTTTCTATACTTTTAAAATTATACCACTAATCAGTTTTATATGTAATTCCTTGTAAAAGTCAATGTTTTTATTGACGGTTAAAGGCTGTTTTCAGTATCAAAACAATGCATTTTAACCAATATTTAATTTCACGTAGGCGCTTTGACATATATACATTAAGGCATTGATTTTAAAAGCCTACTTGTGTTTAAGCAAGGATAGAAAGAATAGAATTCGGGGCATGCAGTTTGAAAAATCTCAGTTTCAATCAGTAATCTACTCAAGAGTTTTCGTTTTCTAGTCGTATGGATCGAGATATGGTAACATCAGTAGATGAATCTCTTTTCTATATCTAACAGTTATCTATGTTTTTTACAATAAAATTCGTCAACTCGATCACCAAATACATTCCATAATAGTTGAAACTAAATTGTTTGAGTATTTTTAATAGAATATTCATCCTCCATCATCTGCTTGTTAGTACACAACTTGTTGACATTTTGAATTCCTTCAAAATAATTAGTTAGCAAATAACTTTGAATTTTTATCGTTCATCCGAAACCATAGTTTACATACACCAAATGCATCTCCGTGATAACTTAATATTCTGTTAATTTTTCAACTTTCAGAAGCTTCTAAATATGTAATATATGTCTATCATTACTCAATCTTCATTCAAAAATATTAAGTGTAGTAGTGATACCGCATGATAAACATCCATCAACTTCCGTTGCACAGATAAGCTTACTGTCAGGTTGAGTTTTAAACTTTTTTGTTTTTTAGGAAACGGTTAAGAATAACTACATCATTTAATAATTTATACCTTATCTATTTATTTAAGAACATTTTGTACTTGCAGTAAACTTACCCTGGTATATCTAGAATATGGTGACTCATGCAGTTCTTTTCTTTAACTATTTTTTTGTACTTTTTTCGTACAAATTCATTTAAACATACCTATTTTTCTTACAGAGTTCAAGTTTTTCCAAAATAAACCGCATTATTGTATATCACACCTTTGTAATAAATTTAGTATTTTCATTTCATTACCTAAAGTTATCAAGTGAATTAACTGTCTTGAAGTTTCTAAGCTAAACGTTTTCTAGCGGTTTGTAAAAGCATCGTCTCGTCTGATTTAAGTTTATTCTGTATCATTATTAAGAAGCGATAGACGTTTTCCCGTTGTTACCACTACCGATTTAACTTTGAACACTACGTGCTGGCATTTGTACATCATGTGCATATTGTCTCATTTTGAATGTCAACAAGGAGGTGTAGATACATAAAACTAAGCAGTTTTAAACTGCTTAACTTCATGTCATGCAGATATCCACTATCCATCTCTTTTTTAAATGAAATCAACTTTGTTTAGTCAACATTTTTATATTCCAAACTTAATTATTTCACACAATCTGCTAATAGAGATTTTTTCATACAATTGCCTAGAGAGTGATCAAGTACAGTCTATTGATTGTTAACTGCTTGTATATCATTCATAAATCGTCCTATTGATTAGTTCCAAAATGATAATGAAGATTAGATTGAACAACATTTTGAACAGGGTAGTTGTATAGTTCTGCAGAGTTATGTTCAATCGAATGTAACTATTCTAAATTTTATTTTCAATCACTAGTAATTCAGCTTAATTTATTAGTATTATTAACTGACTTTTACAACTTCATCTATTCAATCATTTCTAATACATTTCATGCATTTAATTTCCCAGATACGTTACCGTATAAACATGAAACATAATGGGATGAGTGGAATTCGTTTCATTAATTGTTCACTAAATCACCAGCATACACAAGTATTTTGTACAATTAAAAATATATTCATTGCGAACGTCAGTTTATATGTAATATGCAGAGTTATGTAGTTTACAAATTAAAAAAGAAAAACAATTATAATTACTTTCAAAATTTTGTTAAATTATTGATTAAACTTATTTGAATATGAACAGCATCTCATTGGTAAACTACATAACTTCATCCATTGAAATCATAAACTGATCGATGTTAGGCCATCATTAAAAACCTGGAAGTATTAGACCATTAATCTGAAGGTTAAGTATTCGCTCGCAAGATCGACAGTCCCTGGCTTGATTCTCGCCTGTGGATTCACAAATGCACACTGTTGAGCAGTCCCATATTAGGACAAAATGGTCGTCCAGTTCTTCTCGATTCTCATCGGTAGTAATCTATCAATGGAACTCAGTGATCTTCACAACCCTCATACTGATCACCTCATCCAAGTTGCACAAAAAATGATGTTTACAAAATATTTAAATTGCCCACGTAAATCAGAGTACATTTTATGATAAAAATTTATTTCTCTTTGTCAAATGGTGTATATATTTTCAATTAGAGTTATGGAGATTACTGTTTTTTACACATTTGAAATCATCAATCAATCATTTTTAGACCACCATTAGAAACCTGAAAGCACTGAAGGGCCATTTCGTCCTGGTATGGGACTCATCAGTGGCAGTGCTTATCCGCGACTCCTGCATCTCGCACACATTACCGAAGGTCCAGGGTTCGAATCCTACGAGATGCAGGAGTCGTGGATGCGCACAGCCACTGGTGAGTCCCACGCTAGAACGAAACGGCCTTCCAAAGCTTCCAGGCTTCTAATGGTGGTCTAACAATGATTGATTGATGATTTTAGATGTATATATTGTTATTGCTTTACATTTCAAAATGGTTTAGTTAGCTGTACATATTTAATATTAACTCATCCGATATTTGCATATCAAATTTTGTATACGTTATAACTGATAATTGCCTTTTCTCCATAAGTTTATATTCGATTAATTTGTATAATTATTTTTTTTCATTTTCAAATTTTATTTTAGTAACGATCAATTTATTCAAAGATATCTGATCATGCAGTTTCAAGATCAGATACCATTAAACTTATTGCAAGAAATCGATGAATCGATTAAATCTCATAATCAATTGCTTGAATCTTCATCAACCAGTTCTCATGGTACAATGTTCACTGAACAACAGACAGATCATTTTATTCAACAGTAAGTGTTCACAACTGTATTGAGAATGATATTATCTTTTTTTCTGAACAAAATATCATAATTTTTAGTCATTTCTTTTATTTTTATTCAAATGTTGAAAAAAAACTATTTTAACTGACGAAAAACAATTTCTAATGATAGATTGTTATTTTTACACAAAGTTAAAATTTTGTTATACTTAAGAGTAGTATTTAAATAAACATTTTAAATTATTTTTGTAATATGAATAAAAATATTTATCGTCTGTCATAAGCCTGTAAACAATATAGTATTACAAAATAACATTTGTTATGCTTCGACCGAAAAATAAATAAATTCAGTTAAAAAAACTGCATCACGTAGTGAAAAGTCGACACGTTTTTTTGATAAATATGATTTAGGAAATATATTTTGAATAGTGACTAACAGTGTAGTTCTCAGTTCACATATTTGTTTTTCAATCTGAGAACTTGTAATAAAACCATATATATTTACATTTTAATTTATGTTTCCATTAAAACTTTCAACGCAGTACTCATCACGTTATCCATTAGAACAATTCTATCCGAAGGTTTCAACTCCAAATATATTTATACCATCCTAACAAAGTCCCAGTGTGCAAGTTAGCAAAAATACAAACTATACTAAAAGATATCATCTGTATTCCATCTTTAAGATAATTATCTTGTTTATTCGAGTAGTGACAAGCTACGTCATTTGAAAAGTGAAAATCCTTGTTGAGTGCAAGGATAATTCACTACAAAATACCAAAAGTTGTCGATCAAGCGTAACTATAAATCTTAACAGACTAGATAGTTCAAACTTAAAACATCCAATGTTCACCTACTTACTATTTTTCCCCGTTCATTTCAAGTAGAAATTTTATACAATGATCATACAATTTATGCATAAATTATTCGAAGACATAAGCTTTTTTCTTTTTTCAAAATTAGGAAATTTAAATATAAAAGTCTATTATATAAAATTAATCGTTTTTTTCCCTTTTACTTAAAATAAATTTAGATTGTTACACAGATATAAACTGAGAGAAAGAAGGTATTGTCATAAATTTTCGTCTCAATAAAAAAACTGATGACGTTAAATTAACCAGCAAAATCTTTCTCTTTCAGTATTGAAATACCAACAACAACAACAACAACAGTAATAATAATAATAATAAATAAATCCGTAGCTTAGGAATAAAAAATAATAAACACAATAGGTTGAAAAATAAATTGGAAATTTGAATGAAAAATGGAAAAGAAACTATGTTATGAGAAATCATTCAGAAAAGAAAATGATAAAACTGTCAATTAACAGAATTCAGTTGTTTTTTTCTGATTTATTTATTTACTTATTATTATGAATGCATTCAATATAGAGAATATGTAGAATAATTTATGTTTGTTTATAATTAGATATTTAAGCTAGTTATTATAAGGTTATTGGATGATTTATAGTTTTATAAAATCTTATCTACTCCTTAGCGTTATAGCATTGAAGTGAAAGGCCATGTTTCATATTTCCAACATTATCACTCGTTCTCATCGTATTCGCGCTAACTATTTTGTTACAATCCAACGACAACTATATTAGACAGCACAAACTTCTATTTTTTTCAAGTCAGACCATTAAATTAGGAAGTGAGAGACTGTATTGATCGAACTGGATCGTTTCCAATGTTTCAAAAATAAATGTGTTTGTTTAACAGCAGTTATGATGTTTTTGTCAACTTCCGAGTAGTACCCATCAATAATTAATATCAGCTATTAAGCCGACAATAAAATAAAAAAGGACTATTACTAACCAAAGAATGAGTTACCCTGAAGTCATAAAAACGGTTTAGATACTCTCAAAAACGATGAGTTGGATTTCAGCGGATAATATTATCAACTACAGTTAATGATTGATAACTAATGATTGACATCCAGCTATCACTATTGATTACTCAACGAATCAGCACCATTTTGATAAAAAAAATTTACTCTCATTAATAACACCGAAACTTGATCACATGTATGAATTAATTGTATCGTGTAAATAATAGAATATATTTATTAGATCTAATTTCTTATAAAACATCTGATAATCTGAAGTGTCCCACGTACAACCAAACCAACTTTTTAAAGTGACCATAAGTAGTATCTCGAATTTCTTCAGAACTTTATGCTTGGGTTTTATTGTCTACCACAGCAACTGATTTCAAAAAAAAACATCCCAAGCTCTGACTATGAATGTATCGATGTTATATAACCTAGTGAGGCCTACTACAAAGATTACTAAATTATGTAACAATAATGTTTAGTAACTCTAGATAATTCAGAAGTTGTATATAAATATTTATATATACAGTCACTCAACTTTATAGTTTTTTGAATTTATTTAGACAAGAAACTGAAAAATCATCTTTCTCATCGTCACTACTAACCAATACGAAACAGTCAAAAGATAAATTCAATACTGGATCTACAGGAGTAGATTTCATTCAATCCACCATGGTATTTATGTCAACTGCCATGAAAAATACTATGAATAAACATTTACCAAAGGAACCGAAAGATAAAATTGCATCATTCGCAGCTGATGTTTGTTCTAATCTACGTTTATCATTCCGTAATCAAACAACAGCTAATCCTAATACTTGTAGTACAATCACATCATCATCATCGTCATCGACCACTACTGTAACAGTAGCTAAAGCATCAACTGTGAGTGATAAACATGAATACTCTGCGGACAATCAATAATATTCCTCTTGGTTGATGAAGTTCCATTACTGTTTTTCTATTTTGGTTGTGTTATTTTCATTTGTTGATTATGTTTTCCAATTTATACAATGAGTATAAACATAATTCATAAATGAGACAAACGATGATTATTTTATGATCATAAAAATTATCTAATGCATAAATAGAATAGATTACATCTCATTTATCAACTGTTATTGTACAGTTGTCGGCTTGTAAAAATGTTTTTATTATCTATTTTTTTTGTAACATTCTCTTTCTTTCTTTCCTTAATGTCTTCTGTGTTTTATCGTTTGTTTGAATAGATAACAACAGCGAACATACAACAACATAAACAGAATGCCCTAGAAAATTATTTGTCACTCTATGCAAAATTCTCTCATTCATTTCACTGCATTGAAAGGTTTTTGGTTTTTTTTCATTTTGCCTGGCCTTTGATGATTTGTTTTCTTTCTGTTTTCTACTGTTTCATAGGTGTCTCATATTACGTAGAGAAAAGAAACAACAAGTAAACAAACGAAATAAGATAATTGTTTCACATTTTGTTTACAAATTTCATTCATTATTTCCAACTGTAAAGGATGATGAACATAGCTCATCAGTTTTGTTTTCTTGGTACAATGAAAAAATCAATGTTATTTTTAACTTGTACAGTGAATGGATAATTACATGATATTATTATTATTAGTATTTAGCAATCCTTTTTAGAGGTATCATATTGAATTTAAAAAAAAACTATCACCATTTTTACTTAATAATACACCACGCGCACATATACAAACACTTGCGATGCATTTAATTAAGATTTGAACTTTTATTTTACTATATGCAGTTGTTCAATTTCATGAAATTACATTTTAAAATAGAGAGAAAATAAAAATGATAAAGACCACCTTGGTTTAGTGTTCCTCTTTTTTTCTTAATTTTTAATAATCATTTGGGTATATGAAACAAGTGAATAATTTGGAAATTTATCTTAAATGTAATGGACTGTTCCGTCAGTATGGATTGGATTTCATCGATCCCACTGAATCAATCCCTGTCTCCTTTAGAATATGGATCTGTCATTTTAAGGATTATCAAAGAAGCATTTCAATCTTATCGAAGCTTATTGTTATTCTAAAAGAGTTTGTGCAGATATAGCTCTTTTGTAAGGCTCAAAACCTTTTTTATCTTTAGGTTAGTAGCATTCATAGTTTTTCACTCTCTGATCTCTTTTACTGCTATTGAAATCCGATTACCTCTGGTATTGATCTTAAATTTTTGCTTCTCATCTTCATGAATATAACTTGACTTGCTCATATAAGATCTGCTAACTTGCACTGATCCTCGTTAGTGCTGGGCCAAACATGGATAATAGTTTACGGACGAGGGAATCTGTTGGGGATGTTAGATCCCCAGAACTCGCTTGATAAATATCTTTATTTTGAATTTATTTCATGGACCCATCAGTTGACTTTGAGATCACATTTCCCACCGGGAAAATTCTTGGCTGTGACTGGTTACTGTGTCATTTTAGTGTGCTATTTTGGTGATTCTCCCAAGGACGTCTCTATGGCGTATAAATAAACGCGATTTGTATGCTTGGTTCGATTGTGTGCTGGTTGGGTGTTTGTAGAATACACTTTCTACGCTATATCAAGACTTCTTGGCGATACAACTGGGACAATCGGATCACATTAGCCTACCTGGACGCTGGTTCGTTTTTTGTTTTCGTTACCCGACTAAGGTGAACCCTTAATAGTTTTAAGCATATCTAGAGATGAGTATAACAGAATCTTTAACAAACCGAAAACCATTAGAAGTATGATACTTAGCTCTAAATACTTAGATTATGAACATAATTCGTTTATGTGATAAATCCAATATATATTAGTTACGTGCTTTGAAATACTTGAATAAATTCAAAAGTATGAACATAAACGGTCATTATCCATAAGAGTTCCTATATGAACTCCCTAATTATTCATTGTAATGAAATTTTTACTTCACAGTAAACTTCACTTCTAATATGTAACATGATAACTAACTACCTTCTTGTATATAAGTTATTTCATGGTTATTTTTAGGCAGACTGCTCTCTGAATATATATATATATATATATATATATATATATATATATATTACGTGTCGTTCATTTCTTGCACATCATAAATATTTTATCATAAGATCATATGATACAGTAATGTATGCAACTAGAACTACATATCATTTCTTATCAATTTGATTTTAAATCTCAACAACTTTTGAGTACATCGTTCAATAATTTATTTTTTTTCTAAACAACTGGATTTCCGTCAACGGATTTTTATCACATTGAAACATTTCGTTACTTTGATTACTTACTGAATATTATAAATTTTTTTTTAATGTTGTGATAAAAGCATGACAGAATGATATGAGTTTGTTTTAGTTTTTATTCAATCTTTTATCGGTTTTCATTTCGAAAAAGTATCCTTATGTAAATAAATATTAAGGAGTTTGATTTTTTTCATACATAACTCAGTTGATTTCGGTAAATTTCGTTATATGTTAGAATGTTGTCCGTCAACCTAACACTGAATTTCCAGTTTAAAAATTCGTTATTAAAAAATACTTTAATTTTAGTTGACAGTTCCTACTTAGCCTGAACTCCTTCTTTTAATCATTCATTACGTCATTTAAATGAAGTAATATTTCAGTTTTTTCCTGAAATCAGATCCTATTTCAATATATATAAATACACATATTGTTTTAGTCGCAGGATAGTTAATTACATTGTCAAAAACTTCAAACTACGCATTAGTTGGACGATAGAACATATGAAATTTCAATAACTATATATTTAAAAAATTTATACTTTGTTAACTTTAGCAATAGACCATTTAACGTACATACAAATGAACTGAGAATCAAAGGACTTTTTTTAAAAAAATAGATCCTCAAAATCCCTGAAAACGTTTGCTTATACACATGAATGAGTCAAGTATAATGTTTGTTTTATTTGTTAACACCTAGGGAACAAGACGAATTCAAATAAAATCATTTAAATCAAATCAATGTTTATATTTGCAGTAGTGAATAGATTTGGGAACAAATTTCAAATTATAAGTGAATACTCAGTTACATTAGATAGAGTTCAACCTTGTGTTTTGAACTGACTTGAAGCAGGTAGACCATTGAGATTTGTTGCCATTTTTAGGGGAAAAGTGCTTGCCATGAGATTTAAAGTTTATGCATCCAGTTCTCACTAAGTCATTAGTGTTTACTGCCCACAGGTTTTAATTTGAATAGAAAGGTGTTTGAATACAAGATGGTTTTCTACAGTTCTGACAGTTCTGACCTGACATGAAAAAAAATGACCATCACATCATCACACTGCGACTCATTTGAAATGCGAAATTACGGATTTTAAATCGGATAACTGTGATAAATTGCAAAAACATACAGAGAAGCTAATTGTTCACTAGTTATTTAAGAAGTTTAAAACTATGAATGTAAACGAACAGAATCTTCGGAATTACATCTTTCAAAGACTACATAAGAAGATGAAAACTTATTTAGAGTTATTACACAAAAGTAAGTCTCTTGAGATTTCAAATTTTTTGAGTATACGATCATTAATTTTACCACGACCTACATTCAATAAGACTGAACAATGGATTTGACTTTTATACTTCGAGATTATTAACTGTGATATTGCGATTTTATACATGCTTTCAATAATGTACAGATAAATCAGATTTTCCCATGAAGAAGAAATTTAAAATGCATAGAAAGCGATTCTTCAGAGCTTCTGTCTTAGTTGGAGTAAAGAAAGAAAAAAGACAACATTGAATCCAGAAATTTTCAATGTTTGTCACAACTAAAACAAATATAATCCCAAAAGAAATCTTAATGAAGGAAATTTCCATTACTGACCTACCAGTTTGCATCGCTTTGAAGTGAAAGTTATTGCTGTTTAACTTCGACCACATGTTACAAGTTATTGAATTAAAAATTAAAAATTCACTTGACTGTACTAAAAATTATCAACTGACTGCTTTAAAACCTGATATTTGTTTTTTATTTCAAACGAAAGGCCACCGCATTGAAAGAAATCGGTATATTTATTTATCTCTCTTATAACATAAGACATTTTTAAACAAAGTCAGAACAAAAGCAATGAATATATATGCTATTTTTCTCTTCAATGAAAGTATATTATTGTTCATTCTTAAAATTTCGAGGCCTTCTCGTTAGCTGCGAACAACCCAAATTTACAAAATAAGTAATGATCACTTAAACAAAAGTTTTCATTCTTCAGCTATTCAAGTTTTGTATTAAATAAAACAAAAATAACATAAACAGAAAGAAGATCAACCACACTGAATTCAGTTATGTAGAATGACTAGTATTAATTTGCTGAAGATAAAAATTTATCATAAGTAGGAAATGATGTTATATCGAATACTGAAAAAAGATATTTCATTCAGTAAAAAGCTAACCAGATATGGTCAGGTTGCCTAAATAATGTAAAATTAAAATTAAGAAAAACTTATTGAGTGGAAATCAGTGAGATCTTCGAACAAAAGGTTGCATAATTATAGACATTTATACTAACATTGAAAAGCTTCTTTCTGTTAACAAGAGTCAGGTTGGAACTGTTTGATGACAATGGTCTATGCGAATATAAGTCAAGGCAAATTCATTTTCTTATGAATTACTTTAAACACCGTCGTGGAATTCTGTTCTGAGACCAACATTAGCTAAGTTCTGTTCTCTTGTTTCTGACCATTCGTTTTTTGTTTAACTGACAGAACATCACTAATCAAGAAGTTAAAAAGTTTGTTTATAGTAACTGAAACGCTGTTAGCAGCTAAAAAGTGGCTTTGAGATATTATGTATTGAATTTATCCGGAAAATTTTATCGTTTTTGTTTTATTAAAATTTATCAAAGGATCAAAATGTATGAAAACCAAGTTTCACGGTTTTGATTGGTATTCGTTTATTATCTGGTATATTCTAAGCAATCAATTAA